AAAAAAAAGACAAACTTACCATCCCAGTTCTGGTCCTAGTGGTTAAAGTTCTAGTATCTACAGTAGGAGCTAGCTACCCCAGGTGCTCAACCACAGAAATTCTGTTCCTATGCTTGAAAAAAACTGGCTGTGTTGGGTTATGATTTTTTTCACTTGGTACCTTCCTGACATTTTCAAGGTAATTGCATCTTTACCTGATTTTTACTGCAAATGCTGGCTTTAAAATCTAATCTCTTTCTATACTCCTCCTCTGACATATGAGTCTGTACCCCCCAACTGTCCAGTGCCCACTGGTGGCACAGGTAAGGGAAGAGAGGGTAGAAAGCTTTCAGAGGGGAAGGTCCCAGCTTTCAGAGGGGAAAGTCCAGGTGGTAGGTGATAAGGGAGCCCACTCAGGCTTTGGGTACACTTTGGATGTATGCCACAGGGTAATGGAACTGCATCTCCAGGCCTAGTTGACTCCCTGTTCCCTCTCTGAGAATACCAGTACACTCCACAGGCCTGCCCCCACCCCACCCTGAATCTGCCAGAACTTGAATGTGGGTAGTAGGTGAGGCCCAGCCCTGGTTGCTACATTACAGACACCCAGAGGGGCCGGAGCCAGCTTCCTAGGTGTTAGGAGGGGGCTTGAAGGAATGGGCACCTAGTCTTTAGGACCTTGCTGAGCACATGGGGGAAAAGCCTGGAATCCCTGGAAGGAAAGCCAGCTGGGATGGCACTAGCGCAAAAACAGACAGGTGGATCAATAGAACAAAATAGAAGATGGAGAAACAACCCCAGGCACATTCATCTGATTTGACAAAAACATACATTAGAGGAAAGATAGTCGCTTTAATAAATGGTGCTGGGAAAACTGGCTATCTACATGCAGAAGATTGAATCTAGACAATATCTCTCAGCATGTACTAAACTAGAATCAAAATGGATCAAAGGTGTAAATTTTAAAACAGAAAAACTTAATCTGCTGGAAGATAAAATATAAAGCTCTTGAAGACATAGGTGCAGGCAAGGATTTTCCGAACAGAACCCCTATTGCACAAGAAATAACATCAAGAATCAGCAAATGAGATCATATCAAATTGAAATGCCCCTGCATAGCAAAGAAAATACCCAACAGATTGAAGAGACAACTTATAGGATGGAAAAAATTTTGCCAGTTATTCCATGGACAGAGGACTGACATCTAGAATATATTAAGAAGTAAAAAACAAAAAAGACCACCCCAATAAAAGACCCAATCAAAAATGGGCAAATGAAATAAACACTTCTCAGAAGAAGACCAAATTACTGATTAATACATGGGGAAAAAAAAGTTCAACATCTCTGACCATTAAAGTTATGCAAATTAAAAACAACAGTGAGGTTCCACCATACTCCAGAAAGAACAGCTGTCATCAAGAAAGCAACTAATAACAAATGCCCGAGAAGTCCTGGGGGAGAAGGAACTCTTCTACGTTGTTGGTGGAAGGTGAACCAGTACAGCCATTATGGAGATCAGTACAGTGAGTCCTCAAAAAACTAAAACTAGGAGTTCTATTTGACTCAGTATTCACTTTCTGGGTATCTTCCCAAAAGAGTTAAAGATACATTACAGTGATACCTGCACACCCATGCTTATAGCAGCATAGTACATAATAGTTAAATCTTGGAAGCAGCCTGTATGTCTAGCAACAGATGAAAGGATAAAGAAAATGTGTTTATATAATGGAGTACTACTGTGCTGTGAAAAGGATAAACTTGAGTTTGTAGAAAAATGGATGCACCTTGAGACCATAACGTTAAGTGAAATAAATCAGACATGGGAGCTTAAATATTGTATGGTTTCTCCTATATGAGAAACCCAAAGTATAAGTAAAGAATGAAATAAAAGATAGGTAATAGGAAATAGATCTTTTGCAAAAGGGAAGGGGACTGAGCGAGAGGAGACCGGGTGGGGGGTGAAAGAAGAATTAAGATGTGTCACGTACATGCGCCAGTTCCCCACGAGGAAGGCAATCATTATGTACTGCAGGCATGTACTAAAAAAAAAACAACAAATAAAAGGGAAGGCAGTTGGGGCTGGGATGTTAGGAGACGTCTGGGGTGTTAGGAGGCAGAACTCGAGGCTTGCTTGTCCCGTGTTTTCTACTTCTCTGTGCCGGCGTTAATAATAACGCACTCCGGAAAGCAGCCGCATTGCCCAGCAGGTCTGGTGTCTTCCTTTGCCGCCCACCCGGTGTACCCTTTGCTTAAACTTCTCCCAGGAAGACTTCCTGGGTTGCTCCTACTCAATTCCAAGCCCTCCTCCGGTTTGCTAATTTGTATTTACCTAGCAGCCGCTTTGGCTCTTGGTGCTGGGAATTCAGGGCAGACCAAGCACTTGTTCTACGGAGCATAATGTTACAGTGGAGAAAACATCACAGTCTGTGATCACGATGAAGAAAAATAAGGAAACTGTCTACAATAGCGGAGATAACTTCAGACGACACGGGCACTGTGAAGAAAGCAGGGTGATGCCACGGTGATCCTTGGCGAAGATGCGCTGGAGAGGGGCATTTAAACCGATAACCAAAAAGAAGTAAGAAAAAAGAAAGAAATGAAGCAAGCCCGGCGTGGTGGCGCGTGTCTGCGATCCCAGTTACTTGGGAGCTTGAGGCAGAAGGATCGCGAGTTCTGAGTCAGTCTGGGCAAGTTTTTAGCAAGACTCTTTCTTGATGAAAAGAATTCAAGGGCCGAGAATGTAGCGCGTGGTAAAGCATTCCTGGGTTCTGTCCCTAGGACCACAAAGAAAAGGGAGAAGAAGAAAGAGAAGGAGGAAGAGAATGAGAAGGGTGGGGGAAGAAAGAGAGAAAAGAGTTCATTAAAAGTGTAAACAGAATTGAGAAATTGAGACATAGAGAGACACGAAAACAGCAGAAGCGATGGCCTTCTGAGGATCTTGGATTCAGGGACAGGTTACAAACAGCAGTGTCCCAGGAAAGGCTTTCCTACCACGTACTTGCTGACTGGAGAAGGAGGCCAGAGGCAAACGACACACCCTGGCTGAGCAGCCGGTACTTTTTTTTTGTAGGGCTAATGAAAAGCTTGTGGAAAGTTCTGAGCAGGGAATGTTTCCTGGCAGTCATGGGAGAATGAATGCTGGGACTTTAGGTGGCTACTGAAGAGGCCCCCAGAGGAGGTGACTTCCCTTTTTGGTGGGTCCCCTAACCCCTAGGACCTTAATGTGCCTCGAGTATTACTGGAAGAGCTGCTTTCAGCCTTTTTGTCCAACAACTCCCCAAGAGTCCAGAACCACCTTGGCCACCTCTCCTTTCCCTTCAGTTCCTCAGAAACTGGCTTGAGGGGACCTCAGTTCCTTTTTCCCATACCTCACTTGCCTCCAGAAACTGCCTGTGAGCGAGGATGGAGCGTCCTCTCTGGGACTGCTCCATGTGCTCCCCCGTGTGGCTGTGAGGAGGTACTTCAAGGCTCTCCCGACGGCGGAACTGAGGATGACTCTCCTCCTCTAGGAACAATCCCAGTGAGGTAGGTGGCAGGGTTGGGTGGGGGGAAGAGCCGAGGACTGCTTTTTCTCCTGCTTTTTCTCCCTGCCAGGTTGGATCAGTTCAGGCTAGGTTCCTTTCACTAACCTATTTGAGGCCCTCTGTGCCCACTGGGTTTGGGACAACAGCCAAGGAAGAAGAGTCATGCCCTCCATGACCTTGGAATCTGAGAGGGAGTGACTTAGACTGTCAGGGTGCTCTTGTCATCCTTTTATTTCCTCTTTCCTTGCAGAAATATCAGGGGGACACTGTACTAGCTGGATGGGCTTCACAGACTGTGGCTACACTGTCCATCCCTGGCCTGTGATAACCTTGAGCCCAGCAAGTGCCCAGAGCCTCTACCTCCTTCATTGGTTCATTAGTGAAGTAGTTTTCTGCCTTGCTCCCTGGAACCTGGAAACTCAGATTAGCTGTCTGTAAGGTAATGGCTCTGACTCATCTTTCCCCGAAATTCCCACACACATCAACCCAACTGCCCCTCCCTGTCCACACTTGAATGTTGTTATCGTTTAAATATGAAGCGTCCCCCTCAAAATTCACACACTGAGGACTTGGTCCCCAACACAACAGTGTTCAGAGGTGAAGCCTAGAGGTTCAGCAGGGCACTGACTCACTGAGGCGTTCATAGTTGAGGGGGCTATGATGTGGCCAGGCCTACTTGATGTTGAAGGGTGTGTCTTGTGCACTGGGGGACATGAGGTGAGCTTCTTGTCTTCACCACACGCTCAGCCATGAGGTATCGTCTCAGAAGAGGCCCAGAAGCAACAGGGCCAGGTGACCGTGAACTGAAACCGCTGAAACCTAAGGCAAGATAAACCCTTCTTCTTTTAAATTGTTTATCTCAGGTATTTTGTCTCAACAACAAAAATCCGACTAGCACAAGTATGTTTGCATCCCCAGGTACAGTCTCTGCCAGCCCTCTCTCTCCTGCATCCTGCCCTCTCCCTGCCCCACCAAGACCAGTCTCACTTTGAACAACTTCTTTACTTCAGCCTCCTGATGTGAATAGTTGTACCATTGCCCTTTCAGGCCATAAAACATCCATGACTGTTTGACATGGTATCCAGATAGGTTGGACAAAGGTGATTTTTTTTTTTACAAACAGGGAAACTGAGGCATGGTGAGACCAGCTAGCTGCTTCTTGTCAGGTCAGGACTACAATCCAGAACTTTTTTTTTTTTTTTTTTTGAGACAGGATCTCACTGTGTAGTTGAGACTGACCTGGAACTCACTATGTAGCCCAGGCTGGTCTTGAACTCACAGCAATCCTCCTGCCTCAGCCTCCCAAGTGCTGGGATTACAGGCGTGTGCCACCACACCCAGCTTCAGGATTTATTTCTCTCTGCCCACCACACAAGTCTGATACCACTATCAGGAGGAAGGGAGAATATCTGCTCCTAACTCATTTTTCCACCCTCCCTGACCTAGGCCATCAGTCTAGTATTAATACAATTTGTGAAAGCCTTTGGGAAACAAGATTCATGTTTTATTTCCACAGAGAAACTCAATACATGAGCTTTTTTCTGGAAAATTGTCAATTACTTCAGGTCACAAAATAAAGTAAGAACAGAAAGGGGCTTATTCTGTTAGGCTGGTGGTCACCAAGACACCACAGCAAAGTGAGAAATGAGGAACGGATGAGCCAGGCCCCCAGCCCAGCAGATGTGGCTGTCAGCACAGCTGGGAAGACTGGGAAGACTGGGAAGTATGGTTGGGCTCCTTGACGACTGGTGTTCAGGAGGTCTCAGCAGTGACCAGAAATCATTTTCTAGAAAAGAAAAACGAGAAGATTAAATGATAGAATGCAGCCACTCCTAAATCACTTGCAACCGGACGCCCTTTCGTCCAATCCCCAGGCTCCAGCAGCTCCTTTGCTGTCCCGCCCAGTCTGTTCCCCTCCCTTGTGCCCCCACCTAAAACAGATTTTATGACCGCTTTGTCTCCGGAGCCACACTTCATCCTTTATCCCCCCAAATTCTCTCGGCCGTTCCCAGGGACAGTTCTTGTCCTGTCCTTGTCCTTTCCCCAGCACGCCACCCTCCTCTTCTGTGCCCACGCGGCTCCCTCTGTCTCGCCCCTCCCCTGTTCCGTTCTCAGGCTGCTTCCCATATGCCTTGGATCATTTTCTTGGGACTGTTCCTCCACACCCCACAATGGGCCCTGCTCCTCCTTCACCCCCGCAGCTAGCGTCCACCTAAAGGAAACCTCACTTCGTGGCACTGCTGACTGAGGTCTGAGGAAACGCTAAGGTCCCAGCCTCGCTCAAGGGGTGACTCTGGCTCGGCTCCCGAGGACGTGTGGCTCCCTGCCGCTCTGTCTGACACTCACCTACCAAAACTTCAGCCAATGCAGCAGACCAGGTTGTGCCCGGGAAGCCTGCAGGACAGGAGAAAGGCTGAGATGTCGTGCTGTCCCCTCCACCCACTCTGGCCTCAGGCCTCCTCGGTCTCCAGCCGGGTTTTCTCAGTCCCCATACTCACAGAGGATGAAGGTGTGGTTACTCCCTGTGGAGAAAAGAGGAGAGGAGGTGATGTGTGGCTTTAGTGGCCTTTCTGTACCCTGACTTGGCCTTGGGGTTCAGAAAGGGCCCCATGTCTGAAGCAGACACAAGCCAGGATTATCACCAAGGCCTTTCAGTCTCCCTGTAGACATTCAGTCTGGGATCTTTCCCCTAAGGATGTTGTATCCACAATGACATTTAACATAGCCCTGAGCACACAGTGACCACAGGGAGTGAACGGAGCTGAGGTGTCCCTTCTGCCTGCTGGGTGAATAGAAATCAGCCACAGACTGGCCAAGGGGACACCACCAGGCAGCGCTAATGGCATCTATACCTTCTTTTCCTCACCACTTCTCCGTCCCTGCACAGAAGGTTCTCCCTTCTAGGGTAGGAGCTTCCTTGTGATGAGAGATAGGGGGAAATCCTTGGCCTAGCTGTCCTTTGCTAGCCTAATTAGTATCCAGCACACTCAGTTCCTGCCATTATAACATTGCCTTCTTTGCAACCGTACAAAACAAACTTTCTGGTGTATCGTTTCCTTTTATCTCCTTCAAGGCATGAAGCATTGTTTCCCACCAACCACGAGCTCCGGGGCTCGCTTTCCCGGGAGGGCTAGCCCGCTTTCCTCTCCTCTGCTCCCCAGAAGAGGTCTGCAGAGGAGACGCCTGCCTGCGTGGGTGGTGGGATGCGATTTGTCAGAGCAGTGCTCCTCTCTGGGAGGCGCTTGCTTTTTCCTCTGTTGCACGGAAGCGGCTCGCTGAGAGGGTAGCTCGGAGGAGGGTGGTCCTCTCCGCTTCCAGGTTGCTCACAGGGTGAGAGTCTCCCTCCAGAGGCTTTCAGAGTGATCAGGGAGGGCCCTGTAGTGAACACCCCCCTCCATCTCTCTTCCGCGGGCCCTGTTCCAGCACCAAGCCTCACCTTGGGGGTACTCCTCACTGAGTTCTGCCCACTGGACATCGTGGGATAGGCCTGCTGGTTGTAATAGACCTGTGGGAGCAGAGGGGAGGAGAAGGGGTGAAGGTGCATCACTCTAGAGCAAGCACCCCATCTCCCCGCCCCAACTGGATATTTCTTAAAGCCCCTGCCTTCCCCTCTTCCAAGTTGGATTTGGGAGCTTTTTCAAGCCACAAGAGCCCACCCCTCACCACTCTTAACTGTCTCAGCCCAAAGGGCCAGCCGACTCCTTCCCTGGACCCTCTCCAACTCTCAAGTGAGCTGAGACAGGAGACCAGGGAGAGGTGGCATCTAAATCAGGCATCAGTGCTAGAGATCTTGCCTTGGAAGTTACAGCTCCCGCCTCTTGCCTTCCCACATCAGGCTGAGAAAACTATTGGATGGAGAATTTTAAAAAAAGAGAATTTCAGAGGGGCCACACCCAGGGCTGAGAGGGACCCAAGGACCTTCCAGGAGAGTCTGAGAGCAAAGAGACTCACCTGATCAGAACTGCCTGCCCTCTTCTGGAGCGGTGGCAGGTCTAGATCCTGAGAGGGAAAAAGGAGCCACAGTCGGCATCCCCAGAGCCAGCATCCTGCTACCTAGGCTCTGCCCTCCTCTGAAAGCCCCAGCATCTCCCATCCCACCCCTCTAATGGTCCGTGGTAAGCACGGTGACCTAGAAGAGACTGATGGCCCAGAGAGATGTAGGACACGGATTTCCACATTCAAGGTGGGAGTCGTGGTGGAGAAGCCGACTGGGCAGCTCCAGGCCCTCCCCCCCCGCCCACGCACCTGGTGTGTTGGAAGCTCTGGCCAGAGGTGTGGTAGAATTGAGGAAAGGGTGGAGCCCACACGGGCTGCTCCGGACAACCCACCCCCTCAGCCCAGCCTGCCTTTGTGTACACCAAACCCTGCTGCACCCTCACAGGCGCTTTAAGGACCACACGTCGCTGTTCTCTAGGGTCCTTGGGAGGATGGGCATTAGCTCCGGGACAGAGGAGGGGAGGAAAAGGAGGAGATACAGGAAGCAGAGGAAGGAGCGCGCTTCCCTGCCCGCAAGGCAGGGGGCAGTTCTCATCTTTTCTGGAAGGACCACACCGTTCACTCCTTCCGTCTCCCAGTGCAAGGGTCAAGTCCTACCTGACTTAACTTTCTGCCTGTCCACACCTGACAATGAGCCTTAACCCCACTCTTAGTGCTGACCCCGAGGTCATAAACTGCTTGCCCATCAGCCCCCAGATAGTTTTGATTTGGTCTAGCTTTTTTAAAAAATTAGATTAGGGGCTGGGGATTTGACTCAGTGGTTCCACTGCCTGCCTCACAAACACAAGGGCCTGAGTTTGATCCCTGGTACCAAAAAAAAAAAAAAAAAAAAAAAAGTTGCCAACAAATTAAAAACTCAGATTTCTAACATGTCTCAAAAAATCAGACAACACAGCCACACAGGTCCTACATGTGTGCACGATGGCACTAGGGGAAGGCCTTGACTCCCCCCGTCCAGCCCCCCATGCCTGATCCGGGCAAAGCCCCCCAAGGCTTCTGTTTCCCGGAGGCCAGTGGCCATGCACAGTGAGGCGTGGCCTTCTTCAGGACAGGGTCCTGCTCATTCTGCCCAGGAACCGGATATTCAGACCCGCGCCCGTCTGCACTTGACCCTGACCTGACCCCCCCAGCATACTGTCCTCTCTTCCTCAGCTTCCCTCCGCAGTGCCCCTTTTCCATCACTTAAAAACTGATTGCAGCCCCAGGTCCCTTTTTTCCCCCTCCACCTGCTTGCCCTATGTACCCACCCAGCTGTGGGTCCCCTCTAGCCAGGCCAGGCCCAGCAGGGACAGCAGCAGAGCAGAGACGGTGGCCCACTTCACGATTCTGAGCCTGTGGAGCCCGAGCCTGGAGCCTGGGCTTTTATTGGGGCTCCCACCTTGCACTCTCCTCGGTGACTCACAGCCTCTCTCTCCCAACCCACTGCCACTTGAGATTGCATAAAAGCAGCAGGAAGCTGGAGAGGGAGTGAGGAAGCCACCTGCTGAGGGACTGACCAAGTCCCCAGTTCTGCCCCTCAGCCCTTACCTCAGTAATTTTTTTCCAGTTGAAGAAAGGAGTCCTTCGTTTGAAATCCTGGAGGGAGAGGACGAGAAGAGTGGCTGGTGAGCCAGAACTCAGGGTGGGAAGGGACTGCCGGAGATCACTGGAGGAAAGGACTTGGGAGAGAGGTGGGATCTGAGGACTCCATGGAGATAAGCAAGGAGAGGTGAGGGTGTTTGGGTTTGAGGTGGCATTGATGATAAGCCTAGGATAACCCCAAGATGAGTGAAAGTATTACTTATCATAAACATATACAAATAAAATTAAAAGATTGGGGTGAGATGACCTATCTCAAAAATGAAAAGAGGAACAATTCGGGCCAGGGATTTAGCTCAGTGGTTCTTCCACCTGCCTCGCAAGTGCAGGGTCCTGAGTTCAATCCCTGGTACAAAAAAAAAAAAGAAAGAAAAGGGACAATTTTGTGACAGGTCAGCTGGTGCTGAGGGTGGCTGAAGGTGATGGCCAGAATCACCAATTCTTTGGAAGGCAGGAATTCTCCTACCTCCCAGAGTCTTCGGAAGTAGAGGAGGGCCCGGGTACTGGGGGACAGGACTTGGCCCTGCGGATGAAAAACAGGGAGCAGGTTAGCAAGGAGCCCTCCCCCCCTCACCTAAGCCCAGTCTCCTGCTGTTTCTCCGCCCTCAGAATCTTATTGTGACTAAGGTTGGACAGGCAGGCACTGATGGGAGCCAGGAGTCTCAGGGGACACCAGAAAGTATTTTGGAAATGGAGAAAGGTTAGGCCTCTGAACCACTGACCAGCCCACCCTCCCCACACACTGGACTGTCTGTGCTCCCAGCCCCTCTCCGGGACAACATAACTGTAGCAAAACCTCAGACCAGAACCTGTCCCCCAGCCCCCACCTTTTCAGCTGCCAGTGGACCTCCAGCACAGTACCCAAAGCTGTGGGGCTCTGTCCATTCCTCCCCACCCCTGGGGCAAACAGCCGAGACGGAAAAAAAAAGGAGCAGAGACCAGCATGTGGGGCAGCTGAAATTTATTTCAATGGCATGGGGCCAAATTTAGGGGTGAGGGACAAGTTTAGGGGTGAGGGAGGGGCTCGGTAGGGAGGGAGTGGGACCTCCCATCCAGCTGATAGCTCCTTGCCTGGAGGTCACGGGTTTCGAAAGCTCTTTTCCTCCTGGGCAAAGAAATAGGCTCTATGAGGGAACTTGAGCTGTAGGGATTTGGGGGTGGCGTGGGCATCCACCCCTGCTTGGGAAATCTACAGGGACCTTGTAGCCCACCGCTGTCATCTAGACATCCGGACACCTTTGGGCTTGAGAATGCCCTGCCTCACCAGGAGTGTTACCTAGAGTCCCCCTCCTGACCCCTCTCTCTGGCTGAAGTCCTCAACTCCCTCAACCCAGCTGTGAAGGAGAACAGAGCTCCACACCTCTCCTTCCTCCCACCTTTCTACCGGATCTGCCCTTCCAGGAAGCCAACAGTGATTACTTCCTTCCTGCCCCTGTGACAATGTCAGAAGTGCTTAGTAGTCTGTCGTGGTTCTCTGGGAGGCGCACCCGGGTGTGCCCTGTCCTTTCCATCAGACTCTAAGTGACCCTGAGGTCCGTAGCAAGGAGTCTTGCCCCTGCCGGAGACTGATCTCTGTAACAGAGAATCTGTTTGGCTCATTCAGTGCCGCTGGGACCTTCGGATCCCTCCCGTCCCCATCATTCCCAGAGGTCAGGCTTTGCTGTTCCTGAAATTTGGGTCAGGTTGCGTGCTCATCTGCCACCACCCGCTCCTCCCGTAAAGACCACAGGGTGAGGGAAGGCCGGGGTCCTCGCCTTAATTCTCTCACGTTAGAGGGCAGAACCTCGGCAGCTCACAGAGGCTGCTCTGGTGGCAGGAACGACGGATGAGCGGGATGAGTGCAGTGCGGAGAGCGAGGACCCAGGGCAAGAGGCAGCTGCCACTCGGCCCCATGAAAGGGGGGTTCAGGCTGCCAAACTTTCAAGAAACCAGAAATCTAAACACTCGTCTCTCCCCACTACCCTCTCTATCTCTTCCATGCTGGGATTTGAACCTAGAGCCGTTGCACATTATTTTGAGACATGAGCCTTGCTGTGTTGCCCAGGTGAGACTCGAACTTGTGACCTTCCTGCCTCAGCCCTGAAAGTGCTGGGATTACAGGCGTGTGCCGCTGTGCCACCTAAAGTCTCTCAACTTTTACACTTGAGCAACTAATTCATATTCGGAGGAGGAGGAGGAGGAGGAGGAGGTGGAGGAGGAGGAGGGCTCGAACAAAGCGCAGTGGGCCATGTTTCACAACTTCTGCCTGGGGAAGTGGTTGGGATCATCCATTTGCCCTTCAGCCCCATCAACTCTGCTGTTCTGGTGTCAAATCAGGCTGCTGAGGGCTTCCCTATGAGAGGGAGGGGTGGGTAGGGAGGAAAGGGAGAGGAGTTCTCTGACCCAGCTGTCTCCTAAGATTGCATGAGTACAGGGCCCAGAGTAATACCTGTCACCCATCAGGCACTTAGCAGCTCTCCAGGTCCTTTTCCCTTCTTCCCCTGGGTGTGTCAGTCCTTGTGTGGCCTTTGAGCTCCACCTTCAGTCTATCTATGCTCTAGGACAGTGGTGGTGAACCTCTGGCACGTCTGCTGCAGCGGGCTGTTTGTATCACTGAAAACTCTTAAAAGGTTTGCCGTCACTGCTCTAGAATCAGGCTGTCCCCTTAACCTTCCAAAGCAAAAACTGACATTCCTAACCCGCTCAGATCTAAATGTTGAGGCCTTAAAGAGGCTCATCTCTTCCATTCATCTCTGGCTCCCAGTTGTCCCCAGAGGCTCCGTCTCTTTTCAGGTCTCAGTTTGTATGTTGGTTTTGGTTTTAGTATTGGCCTAAATGCCATCTTAGTGGCCGTTATTATTGTTCCCCTGGCTCTCCAGCCAGAGTTATAGCTTTCCTCCCTACATTTCTCCCCCGTTAAGATCAGGATTGCACAGCCTGTCAGAACTTACCTTGTTTATGGCATCCCAGTTAATGAATCCCAGCTTAGACTTAAAATTCTGCAAAGAAAACATAAAGAATGTCCACATCAGGTCACAATGTCATTGGTCCAGGGCCTCAGGCCAAGAGAGGGACAAGGGTGCGTCTTACTGTCAGTAAAGAGGATTTCAGCCTGGAGGGCCAAGTGACAGGGGTCGGTTTTCCCAAGGAGAATGAGCAGAGCTGTCTTACAGAACTCACCTTCCAGAAATTGTCAAAGTTGAAGACTCCAGGAGATGTCTGAGAGTTCTGGGGAACAGATGAGAAACGGGGTGAATTCAAGAAGCTACTGGGTGAGCAAGAGGCATGGGCAGGAGTTGTGGGGAGATGTAAAGAGGGGGACGAAGAACGCTTGATCCCATGGTCGCAGCCCGAGGTACAGTAACACCACTCACCACAGAGTTGAGCTCATTGACTCCTTCATCTCCGTTGCTATCCCCACTGGGTGAGTGCCCCTGGTGGGGAAAGGGGAGACTGATGCTCAAGACGGTTGCAACCTGTCATACGTGCTCCTGGCCCTCTCACCTCCACTACTGCTCAAGCCCTTCTGCCCCTCTATCTAAATCCACTTTCCCTCCTTTACATGGCACCTACAATTCCCACCTCAAAAAGACTTTCCAGAATGATTGCAACCATGTAGCCCTACCCGGTCCCTCGACTTTTAGTTATATTTTTGCCTCCCCCAAAACACCACTGGTAAAGAGAGTAGCTAAATGTCGTCCCACTGTGCCTTCTTCTGCCATATTCCTCCGCAGATGACTCCAGCTCACAGATGAGAAGACTGGAACTCAAAGGGGTCCGGCAGCTGACCTCAGGATCTGTCTTTGTGCCTGTACTCTGTACCCTGTCAGTCTAGTCTTGACATTGAAAGCTCTAAAGTAACTGTGGAAAGCGAACCAGTCAGGCGTCATTGTCTTCACTTTATCCAAAGACACCCAGGCGCAGAGAGCTTAACTGACTTGCCTAAAGATGTGCAGATGACAAGTGAAAAGCTGCCATTTGAACCCCCATCTTCTAACCCAAAGTTCAGCGACTTTCACTTCTCAACACTGACTTCTTAAGTATGCTTTTTGCAAGTAGTTCCTTGGCCATTCTGTTATTTTTGTCTAAGCTTCCCCCTTGCAAGAAACTATGGCTCTAAAGTCGACGGAAAGGAAGGAGAGAACGGGTGAATGGAAGAGGGGAATGGAGATCCCAGATGGTTGCTTTTGTCTCATGATGGTCACCAGACACCGATTCAGAGCAGCTTACAAGAAGAAACTAGTATTTTTGTTTCTTCTCCCAAGCCCTTGGCTTTCTGCCCACACTCCAGCATCCCTTCTGTGAATGCTACCCCAGCTGTCCCTAGGCTCACCTGAGAGTTGCTGTGGGAATTCCCAAGGAGATCACTCTCTCTGCTTTCCTGGGGAGAGAAAGTAAAGAAGTCACTGGGAGGAGAGGACAGGAGTGCAGGTTACAAGATCAGGGTACTGAGGCATGAGAGAACATCCCAGCACTCCATCCTGCCTGGCAGATCTTGTTTCAATCTCCTTATGTGATGGACCAGCTTACTGTATGGACTTACGGTTTTTATAGAGAATGTCACCATCTCTGTTCATATTTGTCTCTGCGAGCTGTCCAAACTCCAGCAGGAGGAGCTTTAGCACCAAAGCATCTGAATTCTCCCCTGGTTTGGAATCAGATGCAAGCCATACTGTTGACCTGAACTGACCCAAACTGGAGGCCCCCAGCTGGGATTACGGCTGCACTGGGCAAAAAGTTAGTGCCAGCTGGCCAGTCAGCAGGAGCCAAGGTGTCCAGAAGCAGACTGGTTGGCTAGTCTTCTCTTGAGTCAGAGGTAAGCTCCTGCGTTGGCACGTCCTCATTCCCAGAGGTAGTTAGCCGCTCTGCTGTCAGGCCAAGTGCTCAGTTAGCGTTGCTACTGGAGAGTTAACCTCCAGCCCTCTCACTGTGGGCACAGCCTCTACTCTCAAGGCCTACTGCTCTCCTACCCTGATGTCCCCAGGACCACTGGGATCCCCTTGTCCTTGCTGAATCCCCAGAAAGACAGTGAAACACAGATCCCTGTTCTAGATCCCGGAGCCATCTTCAAAAATGTATGTATGGATTTCATATTCCTCTACACATACTAAGGGAATTCTTTTTGAGAACTTGTCAGAATAATTTTGAAATTCACCAGGAAGGATAAGGGCCTAGGATTAGGTTTTTAAAATGCTGGAAAAGATCAGTGGCCAGGCGGGACTTGTATTGGTGGATATTAACATACCATAAGCTATTGTAAATAAAACGATGGTATCTGTGCCACAATGGATGGATCCACTTAGCAAAACAAAACCAGAAACGAAGGTATTTACAAGTGGTGTTTCAAGTCAGTGGTGGAAATGATTTAATACTCAGGACTGGAAATATCATTTAAATATGTGGGGGGAAATACGAGTGATACACCTCATCAGCTTCTTCCCTTGCCTTTAATTGTTTTTCCCAAAACAGAGGAGCACCCAGCTGTGATCCAAAGTGTAGAATAATTGTGATTCGATCAGAGAGCAGAGCTAGACTAAACACAGCAAAATGAAGTCCAGATGGATCGAAGAGTTACATTTTAAAAATTGAAATTATGTAAGCATTTGTAATAATTGAAGAGAATAAAGACCTTTACAGCAATATACTAAGAGCAGAAACCACAGAGGAAAAAGATTGATAATTTTATGGGGAGTGGACTTGTTCGTTTGTTTTTTGAGACAGGGTCTCACTACGCAGTTCAGACTGGCCTCACACTCACTACGTAGCCCAGGCTGGTCTTGAACTCACAGCGATCCTCATGCCTTGGCCTCCGAGTGCTGGAATTACAGGCGTGCACCACCACGCTCCACTTGGAGATTGGTAGTTTTGATTCCCTATGTCCTTAAGATTTTGGTATCTACTGCTAGAAACAAACTGAGAGAATACTTCTTAACATTGGCCACAGCCTGCCCAGGTTGCTGGTGAGAAATGGAGCGTCTCAGCCCCACCCCTGACCCGCTGAATCAGAACTTGCTTTTGCACAAGACCTCTAGGTGTGGACAGGAGTATCACACTTGCTCTGTCAGCACCACAAGGACGGACACCTACTGCCGAGGGTGCCAGAATAACTGAGAGGAAATGTACTTTCCAGAACACTTCTGTGCTCTGTTCACGGCCTGGGGTGGGACGGTTGAAATGACTAGGTTTCTGAAAGCACTGGTTTACATAAGATTCTCCCTGGCCCTGCCTACGGTATACAGTGAGGCATTGCATAGGGATTTCCACTGTTACTCTGGAGGCTATTCCTAGAAGTATGCATTTGGCTTCTCCCATCTAAATTGTCAGATTCTCCCCAGATGCATTGGATGGAATTGCTTATCAGGAATGGGGCTGAGCAGAGTGGACCTCTGGGAACGGGAAGTGTGGTTCTCACCTCACTCTCAGATTCTCCGGTTATGCGGCCTTCGTTCTGCGGGTAGTCACACTGCGGGAAAGAGACAGGTAGGACTCACTCAGCCCGCTCCCGGACCCCAATGCCAGCCCCCAAAGGATAGCATTGCAGCCAGCTCCTGCGCAGCAGCAATCCTTCCATTCTCAGGGGGCCCCCACACCAGCACGCAATGGCTGATCCCTCCGTATTTCCTTCCCCGGGCCGGAAGGGCAGGGGCCCTTGGGGGCCCCCCAGCTACCGACCTCAGGTTTGCTTCCGCCGCCACTTGTCCCTCTGCTGCCCGAGGAACTACCGGAATCGGATTCCTTCAGGAAAAGAAAGCAAGAGTTCGCATATCATCTTCAAAGGACTTATAAATGCACCATTTCCTGGAACATAATAAGCAAAAGGGACTCCTCGAGGCCCCCTTACCTTGGAAACTGAAAAGGGTTGATCAAAATCCCTAGAAGTTTCTATGCCCTAAATGGGGGGGTGGGAGTGGAGACGGTGGCATAAGGAGCAGCCAACTAAGGAGGCTCAGGCCCCAGGGAGCTCGCGGGGTGACCTGTCTTTAGCGCCCCTCCCTTGGAGCTCTCCTCTACAGCAGCCCCCTGCCTCCTTACCCACAAGGTAGGGTCCTTGTGGGGACCCTGTAGTCATCGGTGTCATCTACAGCTCAGCTCGGTCAATGTCCTCTAGTTCCAATGTATGCGTGCAATCCCAGCCTTGTCCTCCTTGGAGCTTACCAAATGAGTGTCCTATTTTTCTGTTCCCACCCCTCTTCTTCCCTCTGTCATCCCCAGATCTGCCAGGTGGGCAAGGAAGAGAGGTTGGAAGGAGGCAGAACTTCCCCACCATGAGCAAGAGGAAGGGTAGGGAGCAGAGCAGGCAGCAGTCAGCGGGGAACCCTTGTAGACACCTGACCTGCTTCTGTAAAAAGCCTGGGCTGGGGCTGGGGAGGCGGGGAGCAGAGGCTGAGGGAGCCCCATGATGACAACTGCCAGTTACGTCACCTGCTCCAAGGCTGCAGCAGCCTCCGGGGAAACCTTGGGGCCCGTGTGCTCTGCAGGGACCAGGACCCTCACCCATCCCTATCTTCTCCCCAGGAGCAGAACTCACGTGGCTGGACCCAGAACTGCCGCCGCCATGGCCACCACTGCTACCACCGTGGCCACCACTGCTGCCACCGTGGCCACCACTGCTGCCACCTTGGCCACCACTGCTGCCACCTTGGCCACCACTGCTACCACCACTCTGGCTGCTGCTTTCCTGTGGAGCAGAATGGAGAGGATGTGGATGAGGGACCAGGACTGTGTCTCTCCTCCCTTGCTCTCCTGCCAGGGCATAGTCTCTGCCCAGCCGATGAGGAGCTGTGTCCCATTCCCCCAGTGCAGATCACCACAGCCTGCCCTCCTCTTACCCTGGAGTTGGTAGAGCTTCCACCAGAGCCAGACAGTGGGCCGTTGGCGCACTGTGGAGAAAAGGCCACCATTAGGTTTAGAGATCTCTGTCAAAGCCATCTCCACAAGCCGCTCCACCTTCCTTGAGGCCCGGTTCCATTCCCCTCCTCCCCTCTCATTTCCTAGTTTCCCGACACACCCATCCCTTCCCAGCCCAGTCTTCCTCTTACCCTCTTCCCTCTTCTTCCTTTCCCTTTTGTTTCTCCCCTACTCTCTGTCACACACGTGCAGACAATCACTCTGTCCCCAGACTCTGGCTCTTACCCCAGAATTTTGGCGGCTGCCTCTCACTGACCCATAGCCAGGCTGGGCCGCAGACCCCTGCAGGGAGGGTGAGACTCAGTGTGGGATCTGGAAGGATCAGGGAGGTGTGGAGAGTGTGGTGTGAAGAGCAGGCGAGGGTGGATCCCTGGGCTGGGTGGCTACTTTACCTGAGCATTGGTCTCAAGGTTCAGGGTCCTTCCACTGCCTCCCTGCCCCCAGGAGCCTCCCAGAGAATTGGTTCCAAAACTGCCTTCAGAGCCTCCAGGTTGTCCATGGCCCCAGGGAGACCCTGGACCTCCAAAACTTCCCTGGCCCTGGCCTCCAGTGCTACCGTGAGAGCCAAACACGCCGTGTCCTCCAGACGTTCCCTGCAAGGACAACACACCTGCACTTGGTACGACCAAACCCTGACTCTGATAGAGGAGGAAGGCAGAGCAACCCAAAGTTAGACAGGAACGGGAGCAGACAGAGGCCCATGGCAGAGACCCCGCAGTAGCAGAGGAAGGCTGCATCCCAAGGAAGGAAACTGCCCACACAGCCACACAACAGCCCCGCTCTCCTTTTAACCATTTCCCATTCATCCTTTCCCATGGCACTCAACTGAGCTGCCCCATGGCCTCCCATTTCTACACCTGGCTTCCTAGCCACTCACCCAAGAAGCAGAGCTGTGGGCAGCATCCGTTCCATGTCGAATGAAGCTCTCAGCCTGTCTGCCAGCCTCTCTCCCAGTGTTTTCAAGAGCGTGGGCTGCTTCCCCAAGTTTGTTGCTGAGTGCATCTCCTGTGGCCTCCCTGAATGCAGAGCTGGCTTCTCCTCCGTTCCCTTGGCCAACGGCATCCTCAATTCCGGAGCTGACTGCCTCTTTAGCTCCTTCACCAATGGCCTTCTCAACTCCATTGCCAGTGGCTTCTCCCATTCCTTGTCCAGCTCCTGTCCCAGGACCCTGCAATGGACCCGCTGCCCCACTGCCCAGGCACAGGGCCAGCAGGAGACTGGAAAGAGATACCAAAAGCTTCATGTCCACCCAGCTCCCTCTCTCCCCGGAGAGTCTTCTTCCCACTTCAGTCTGTTTCTTCTGATCCTTTCTCTTCCTCTGTGCTGCACCCCCTCCTGCCTTCTCCCTCTACTTTCTTATTCTGCCTTCTGGGTCTACAGCCTCTCTTGCTCTCTCCTTTCCCAGACACCCCTGCTTTCCCAGAGTCCTTCTCCCTGTCACTACTCCTTATACTGTAGGTTGGGAGAAGGTAACAGGGCCGGGCAGCCCAGGTCCCTCCCCTAGTGACTCAGGGCCCAACTACTCGATAGGGTAATGAGCTGTAATTGTGAGCCTGTGTTGAAATAGAGAGGGAGCCATGCATCACAGAGGGAGGGAGACCTGGGATGAGACCGACACAAAAGTGTTCTAGTTGCCCAACCCCAGGAATCTGGGGCGCAGGGTGGGGATGGGGCACATGCGGAGATAGGTGTTAGTGTGTCCTGGAAGCGGTGGGGTAAGAAGACTTAGGAGAGAGGCACTGCAGGAAGGACCCTAGCAGTGGAACAGGAGAGGGAAACCCATTGGATAGGACCAGCCCTAGGCCCCAGCGTAAGCCAACATGAGTTGGGGCCACAGGGTGGAGAGCAGGGGCCCTCTCGTGGCCCTTCTCAGTTTCAGGTGGCCTTGCAGCTCTCTTCTCTCTGCTTCCCACACTGTCACCTACAGGCCACTGCCCTCACACCTTGCAACCCACAGAGAGACTCTGGGAGCCACGGGGCTGTGTTTTAGGTTCTGGGGCTCTGGGGAAAGCCCTCCACGGGGCCCCAGGGGTCAGGGAGAAAATGGCAAGGCCCTGGGAGTGGCCATTGTGTTTCAGTAAGCACCCAAGCTGCTCTGGGAGCTGGGCGGGCCAGCCACCCCCAGGGAAGAGTGGGAGGGAGAGACCAAGGAGGGCACTGACCCAGGCTCCATCCTGTTTACTTGGCCTGGAAGGGGAGAATATGCCTGCGTGAGCTCATGGCACTCAAGAGGGGAGGGACTGCATCAGCTCACCACACTCCCCTTCCCCAGGGGCCAGGCAGCCCTGGCAAGGGAAGAGGGGTTGGCCCAAGGTCAGGAGCCATCAGTTGGCACCATGGCCCTTGCCCCCAGTCCCAGCTCTGGAAGGAACTTGGGCATCCTCCGTTGGTGTTATCCCTGCCTAGTAAGTGCGATTTCTTCTTTCTTCCTAGGCCCCAGGTCCTCTCACTTGGCACTGCCTCGAATCACTAGGATTCATCTCTTGATTAGGAGGGGCTGGTTTCCATGTGTCTTTCTCAATGGCTTTCTGTCAGTCTCTCCACCCCAATACCCGCGCCCAAACTTGTAACATCCTATACTTCTTAGCATGTAAACACCATACCTGACTGTCCTCAGCTTCCACCTCCGTGTTGTTCCATCACTGACTCTTTAATGATGATGATAATGATGATGGTAATAATAAAAATACTAAGAAGAACTGTAGCTGATTATCAAGCCTTTTTCTGTCATTCTGTCATTCCCCTACCAACTCCTGGTTGTCAAAGCCCCTTCATTTCTCTCCTCATGGAGCTGCTTTGGGTTTCACTCTGAGGCTCCGTGTGAAAAGAGAGGGTACAGGCATAAATGTGGGGCCCTCCGGGTTAGCGCTGGAGACCCCTGCGCCTGAGCTGGCTGCTTCCCTTCTGCTTGAGGTCAGGGTCACGGGCAGAGGAAGAGCTCTGGCCAAAGCACTCGCTGACTCTCTCCCCTAAGTCCATCTGCTCTCACACTTCTCCACTAATATTTCTCTGTAGACCAGCCTACTTTCTGGCTTGAGAATATCTTAAGAGAATACATTATATCACAAAAGCCGGCATCACTTGTTAGATAGAAAGTACCAGAAAAACAGGTACAAACAATGACATTGCATCATAACTGGCTACAGCTCCTCTACCCTCTTCGTTAAAAAGGCTGAGAGTGTTTAGGCACACAGGCCCAGAAATTTATTCTTTCTCTTTAACCTCATCTGAAAGCTTAGAAGGAAAGTGAGAAGACAGGGACTTTCTCACTATGATTCAGTTACTGAAAGCCATGTCCACAAACCATCAAATTCTCCCAAACAACCATGTTCTACTTTCTTGGATAAACTGCCCTCTGGCATCCTGGGCCTGAGGGGCCCCCTTGGGTCAGAATTACAGCATATTTATTATGAACGTGGAGTGAGCCAAATGGAATCTCTTATGCTTCCATATTCATGGCCTCATTTATTCTTCACTGTAAAGTCAGTGTCATTCCCATTTTACAGATGAGGTGACTGAGGTCCAGATGTGGTTGAACATCACACACAAGACCATATGCGAAAAGATCATGGCAAAATGGAGTGGGTCAAAATGTGACCTATATCTGCCTAATACCAAACAGCTTTATCTACAAGATCTCCATCCCTCCCTTCTTTTACCTAATAGCACCCTAACTCTGACATGCTGGGGTCATGTCTAAGACCTTCTTGTTTCAGCTTTTCTCTCTAAATCACTACTTCATTCATTCATTCAACAAACCTCTATGGAGTTGCTATGGTGTCCCACACTTACTCTGGGCACTAGAATATAATGTGGGAACAAGATCAGCATTTTTCTGATTAGGAGCTCACTGTCGTGGCAGGAGAAGTTAACACAGTTGTCAGATAGTTATATTAACTTTGAAGAAAGATACAGCAAAAGACTGGGATAGAGAAGAAAAAGTGAGAATTTTAAATTTGACTGTCAGGGAAGGGCTTTTTGAGGTGTGACCAATGAACTGAGACCTGAAGGAACTAATAGAGCCAGGCATGATGATATCTTGAGCTAGAGTTTCCCAAGAAGAGAGAGCAGTGGTGCAAAGGCCCTGAGGAAAGAACCTACTTTTTGAGAACCATGCTGTCTGCTGGGGAAATGTGAAGAGTTGAAGTTAGACAGATAAAGGACCCAGACGGTGGGGCTTGGGGGACATTGCAAGTACTTTGACTCTTTATTAGCCTGGATTTGTAGTACATAATGTTTACACACATATTAAGGAATAGGTACATGTACTTAACATATCTTGATTATTTTTATTCCCCTTCCTCTCTCCTTCCTCCCTCCTCTCTGGATCTCCCCCATTTGTAAAACAACTATCTCCCTGTTTCCTATTGTCTTATCTTTTTTATGATTTATACTTTGAGTTTCTCATATAAGAGAAAGTATGTGATATTAAGCTCGTGTGTCTGATTTACTCCACTTAAAATTATGGTCTCAAGGTGCAACCATTTGCCTGCACATGACTCAAATTTATCCCTCTTTATGGCACAGTAATACTCCATTATTTATAAAATAACACATTTTCTTTATCCATTTATCTGTTGATGGACATATGGGCTACTTCCAAGATTTAGTTATTATGAGTTTTGCTGCTGTGAACATGGGTATTTATGTATCACTGGTATGATGTCATTAACTCTTCTGAGATGCTATCTAGAAAAGAAATAGCTGGGGTGAGTGGAATTTCTAGTTTTAGGTGTTTTGAGGAACCTCCATACTGTTTTCTATAACAGTTGTACAGTATACATTCCCACCAACAACGTTAGAAGGGTGGCTCTTCCCCCACAGCCTTGCTAGCATTTGCTATTATTTGATTTTTTAGTAATAGTTATTCTCTCTGGAGTAAGAGGGACTCTCAGTATTGTTTTAATTTGCATTTCTCTAGAAGCCAGAGATGTTGATCATTTTTTCTTATATTATTAGTCCTTTGTACTCCTTCTGAGAAGTGTCTGTTCATTTCAGTTGAACATTTTTTGTTTGAGTCTTTTGTGGGGAGGTCTGTTTTTCTTTTTTCCTAAATTCTAGATATTAGTCCTCTATCAGAGGAGTAGCTAACAAAAATTTTTCCCACTCTGTAGGTTGTTTTTTCACTTTACTGATTGTTTCCTTCGCTGTCCAGAAGCTGAACAGTTAAATTAAAAGGAAAAATAAAGGAATCAACAACAGAAGTAACACAATGACATAAACAAGTCAATACCTGAGAAATAATTCTCAGCGTAAATGTTCTCAACTCCCCAGCTACAAGACACAGATTGAAAGACTGGATTTAAAAAAACCCCAAAATCAAGCTAGGTGACATGGCTCATGCCTATAATCCATCCCAGCACTCAGGAGGCTGAGGCAGGAGGATCACCAAGAGTTCCAGGCCAGCCTGGGCTACATCATGAGTTCAAGGCCAGCCCAAACTACATAATGATACCCTGTCTCAAAAAAAACAAAAATCTAAACAAAACAATAAACCATCTCAACAGTTTGTTTCATACAAGAGGCACATCTAATTCAAAATAAAATTCATAGAATAAAAATCAAGAGTCTGGAAAATAGTTGTCCATGCACCAATACCCTGAAAGCAAACAAGGGTAGCAATCTTATTCTCAGACAAAATGAATTTCATGCCTGATCAGCACAGGCAAAGAAGATCATTACATATTAATGAAGGGAAAAAACAACAGGAAGAGATAATAATTTTAAATATATTTACCCCACACACTGGCATGCCTACCTTCATAAACAAATACTACTGGACATAAAAGATCAAATAAACACCAACATAATCATAGTAGGGGACTTCAGTCCCCCACTTTTACAAATAGAAGATCAACCAAGTAAAGAAATACCAGAGCTGAACCACATTTTCAAATAAATGGACTTAATAGATATCTGTAGAGTGTTTTATCATACTACAGCAGAGTACGCATTCTTTCAGCAGTAAATTGAAACTTTGTCCAAAATAGATCACCTACTAGTTATAAAGCCTGCTTAAATAAATAGAAAAGAATTGAAATTATCTCAGGTATATTATCAGACCATAGTACACAAACTAAATCAATTGCAAAAGAAACTGCAGAAATTTTGCAGATACCTGGACATTAAATAGCACACTCCTAAGTACTCACTGGGTCACAGAATAAGTCAAGGAAGAAATTTAACAATTCCTGAAACCAAATGCTAATGCCAACACAACATACCAGAACCTATGGGACACAAAGAAAGCTGTCCTATGAGGGAAGTTTGTTGCTGTGAATGCTCACATTAGGGAAAAAGAAAGAGAGAGTTCAAATAAACAACCTAATGATGCACTTTACGGTCCTAAAGAAGCAAGAACAGTCCAAACTCCAACTCAGTACTAGGAAGGAAATCGTAAAAACCAAAGTGGAAATCAATGACATGGAGACCAAACAAAAGAAAATGTGAAGAATAAGTGAATTTAAGAGCTGGTTCTTTGAATGAATGTTTTGATTTTTGAGGCAGATATTAACAGTCCCTTTAAGGTACAAAACATGGAAGTCTGGAAAATACAGAAACCAAGGAGGAGGCTTCAGGGAGAGAATGGAGTCTAAACTCTGAGTACCAGGAGAAGAAAAGGCCTTGAATTGGACTGATGTTTGTGTTCTCTTTATGGGATCAAACCGGCACCAGCAAACTCACCATATTCACAGTACTTCTCCTGGAGCCTAAGTTCAAGTTCAGCTTCACTATTTCCTAGTGTGAGCTTCACGCACCTGTGTAACAGTTTCCTTGTCTGTAAACATGGGTGAACCCGAGGATCACCAGCTTTAGTATGTACATGCGAAGAGCTCAGGGAAGTGCTTGGCACACAGAAGGATGCAGTGTGTGCTCCTGGCAGTGCTAGGTGTATTGGTACCCTCAGAATGCTTTCTTGGGAGCCATTTAACTTTGACACACATGTATGCAAGTGTCCTGAAAAGGCCAAATGCAGAGACCTATTTGTAAAGAGGACCAGTTCTAGAGGAATCTCTTTCCCTTTGCTGAGGCTCACAGGTCAGTCAGGCACCTCACTAATGAAGATTACTATCAGGAAGTACTCTTGAATGAGCTCTGCCACCTCTCTAGCTAGGTGGCCTTGGGCAACTCTCTCCCTTTTCCAAAAGCCTCAGTTCCATCATCTGTGAGGGATAATCATGGTACCTACCTCATGGGGCGGCTGTAAGGCTGGATGAATCATGTCTATAAGTGCTTAGCACTGATTCAGTAAGCACCTGGCAAAAAATAGTCCTGAGAGTCCCACCCAAACTCCTCTCCCTGTTCTTCCACATCTGCAGAAACTGGTCCTTCCTCTCTGCTGCTCCCTAGCCTTGCTCCACCCTTCTCAGAAAAGCAGCCTACTTCTTGATCATTCTTATTCCATGGCCTTTCCCAAGGCTGCCCAAGCCCTCTGCTCAAATACCAGACATTTTTGCCTGACTTGACCTCACCTCTTCAACCTCTTAGTCTAATGAGGGGAATTAATGTTAAATAATGTTCATGACATGATTATGAATTATCATAAGCAACATGAAGGACAAGATTAGGGTGCGATGAGAGATAATGACAGGTAAGACTGATGTTCAGGCTGAAGAGTCATAGTAGCTATGACCTAAAGAGGAAGGAGGAGCTGTTCTGGGGGACAGAGAGCTATGGGGACAGAGATATGGGAAGAATTCCCAGCAGAGGGGACAGCAGAAAGCCCTCTAGGCAGGAGAGGGCCCTAGTATTTCCTTTACCCTTCAAAGCCAGTTCAAAGCCCTACTTTTCCAGAAGCTTCCTAGGATTGAGCCCTGCACATAAGCATGCATAAGCATAATGAATTATCTCCTATCTCTTTGGTACTTTGAGAATATAACTCCTCTCCAAACAAACCCAGCCCCCGCAAAAAGTACATATAAATAAAGTCAATAAAAACTTTTACTTCATAAAAAATGAGCTCTCTTTGATACTGCCTTTGCAAAAGCAGGCACTGTAGCATTCCTTCAGGTAGGGCTCCTCCAGTTTATATGAATTTTTTCTTCCTGGTACAGGGGATCGAACTCAGGACCTTACACTTTCCAGGCAGGTGCAGTGCCACTGAACTACATCGCCGGCCCTTCTCCAATGTGTATGAACCAGAGTCCAGGAGAGAACAGACCCTCAGCAAGTGTCTGCTGTGAAAGAATTGTTCTGTTTAGTAAAGTATGGAAAAGAGAGGTCTGCAATTCACGTTGAAAGGCATCTAAAATGTACCAATAGGTGGCTAGATGTATAGATGTGTGATCAAGCAAGTGTAATAAAATACTTATGGTAGAATCTAAGTGGTGAAAATGCAGCTGTGCACTGTAAAACTCATCTTTCTGGCACTTTCGAAACATTTTCAAAATAAAGTATTGTGGGCAGGGAAGGAACAGACAAAATAAAATGATGGTGTTCTACAAAATAAGGAAAAGCCAGTGAATATAAAGTTTCAAGGACTTTATTATATAAATGCAGATCCTTCCTCTCCCTATTTGTCCTTTAGCTGTCTTATTGACACATTGTTTTGTATTTGTTTTCATATTCTGTTTACATGCCATCTCCCTGAACAGCCAAATTTTCCAAAGGCCAGAACACTACCTCTTATTTTTAGCCCCAGGATCGATGGAATTTGGAAGCTGGAAGCAATGATTGCAGTCCATACTGGCAGATACCTCACCACCCTTATAGAGGAGGAAATTATAGCCCCTGGAGGAGGGAGGAATAAGCTGCCCCCTGGCACTTGTTCCTGATGGGAATGCAGGATGCTGGCACCCTGCCAGTGCTTGGGAAGTGGTAGAGATTTGGGTGACAAGTGTGAGAGGCAGGACTCTGGCAGCAGACTGGGAACCAGGTTCAGGCCTGTTACCTTCTCATGGCTTGTGCCCTTGCCCCACTGAGCCTCAGTTTCCTTCCTCAGACAGTGGGGCTGATTAAAGGACTTATGCTTTTAAATTACCGAAGTCTTAAGGGGTTACAAGTGGCTTCACACAGGATTAGTCTCTTAAGTGCTCAGTACACAGTGGTCGCTCTCATGACTCCTCTGGCCTTTGAATCTGGGCTTTGGATCTGAAAACTGGGCCTTCTGTGTCTCCATTCGGTCACCGCTGAAGAGGCTCTCCTCTTGTCACCAGTGTGTCTCCTGCCTGAGCCTTCTGCCTTCCTCCCCTTCCTCAGAACCTCTCCCATGTGTCTCTGTCCTCTCTCCTTATCCCTATGATGCCAAACAGAATAGCATTCATAGTTCTCTCCCTCCCTGAAATGATCATGCAGACTTGGTCTCATTTCCCAGCCCTGCAAGCCTCCACGTGCCTCCCTATAAAATGTTGCCAGTAACAGTACCTCTTACTTAACTGAGTGGTTGGGAGAATTCAATTATGTCATTCATGTAAAGCGTTCAGCACATCTTCCTTACACAATAAAAACAAGCTATTTTTCTTTGGTTACCACACCCCCTCAATGAGGATGCTGCCCCCTTGGTCTCCACCTAGGCACCCCCATCCTCTCCCTGGTGCCCTACGTCCCCACCACTGACCAACAGTGGCTTTTTCCTGTATGGGTGCTCTTCCGAATGCTGAGCACAAACTTTGCACACTGGCAAAGTGTGGCTTTTTCCCTGAACTGCCCTCTTTGAGCGATCAGCTTGAGATCTCCACCTCAATCCATCTTGTGCAGCAGAGAACAAGAAGAGAAGATGCAAGCCCCCACTTCCTCCACTCTCATCCCTCTTTGTGGAGCACAGTGGACCGTGATGAGAGAAAATAGTAGGTCACATTTATTCACAAATCTCAGTATATCTTCTTAAGGTACTCCGGGAACCTCTCCCCCACCCCCAGTCCCTCAGGCCATTTCAACTGGAGGACAACAGGAACACTACTGTGCCAGGGCATCAGTTCAGGGCATGATGTTGGCGACGTTCTGGAAGAGAGGAGAGGGAGTGAATGCAGAGTGCCCAGCCATGAGGAACCCCAGACCTGAGCCCATCAAGGAGTGAGGAGGAGACGGGCTCCTCTGGCCCAGGAACTGCTTGTGTTCTAGGGACTACCTTCAGGACAGTGGCACCTCATGTGGGGCGAATAAAGAGCCGGCCCTCCCAATTAGTGGGGCAGGGGGTCTCTGTGGAAAGCAAGGACCTCTGTCATTTTGCTTCTGAGGACCCTCTGCCACCCCCGTAGCCTGGGCTAGAATGGGACTGTCACATGCCTTCAGCCCTGAGTCCCCATCTCAGGCTGTAGATGTACTAAGTACAAAGGTAGAGACAGGACTTTGGGCCCAGAGTTAAGACCAGGATTCCCCAGAACCTTATCCTCTCAGATGGGGAAAAGACGGAGCTCCGAGCACGCACTGCCCAGCACACTGACACAAGGCAGCAGGGATGGGGACACAGAGCTGATCCCAGGAGGGCAGAAAGGGAGGGGAGCCAGCCAGCTCCTGGGAATCCAAGGAGAGATGGCGGGTCCCACGAGGGTGTGTGGAGAGATAGCGTCAGCAGTCCCTCCCTCTCTGGCTCCCAGATACTTAAGTGCCCTGAAGGTTGTTTCTACCAGCTGTGTTTGCCTCAGTGGGAATGGAATGAACCCACAAGCTGAAAGCCAGAGCAGGCGATGAAGGGGAGGAGCAGCCAGAACAGGTTGGATGTCTCTGTCGAGACCAAGTCTGCCCAAAGGGAAGCTGTCCCCAAACAAGCCACGGGAAAGGGATGGAACACCATCTCTCCGGACAAAGAGCAGAAAGTAGAAACCATACAGGCACTTACCCTCCACAGACCCAAGAAGTTGATGAAAGGCTTGTTGACCGAGGCCTGGAATTCAAGGAGAAAAGGTCAGTCGCCAGCTGCTACCCCACCACCACCCACTCCAAGGGGCCTCCATCCCCCTACCAGGCCCATGCTATGCCCAGAAGACTTACTCCAGATGTTAATGGGGTGGTTCCGATTCCTCCGTGCTGGCCGGTATGCCCGCTGTGCTGAGAGCCCTGTGGACAAAGCCAAGGCAGTCATCACCACCCGCTCCACCCTCAAGGGTCTCCAGGTTCCTTTTACCCAGTAACTGCTCCCCTTTAGGGTGGTTGGGGGTGGGGTGGGAAGCACAGGCGGAGCCTGCATCCTGTCCTCACTCTCTGTCCACAGAGAAAACCCAAAGCCCACACTGCTGTAGGAGATGTGTGAGAGATGGGAAGGGTGCCTGCCTCCTGTTGACCGGCCTTTTGTGAACCCCTTTTACTTGGGCCTTGAGGAAACACTCCCAATCACTGAGGGGCCTAACGGGAAGGGAAACCCAGAAAGCCCATGCAAATACCAGGACTGTGGTTTACCCTCGGCTCTGACCTCAGATCAACCCTCTACACATTCTAGCCTCAACCCTACCTCAGCCCGATGCCCTCCTTGACCTCACCCCTTTGCTCAGCCGTGTCTCTCAGCTGCACTCCAACCCCTGCTGCTCTTTTTGTCTCATATCCCACCTCAAACCCCCCTCCCCAGCTTCCACTCAGGTGGTCCGACTCAGGGCCCTCTTTCTACACTGGCACTTCCTCCCCACCCACCCCTCTCTGGCTCCCTGCCTGCCAGAAGATGTGGCTCTGAGCTTTGAGGCCTGGGCCAGTCCTCAAGATATTGTCACAATGTGTTAATCCAGTGACTGCTCTTGTAGACTGGAAAATGGGGGACTGGGGGACAGCCTTCTGCTATCCCCCAAGCTCCTCCTTGATGCCTATTGTTTTGTGAATGGTACTGCTCTCCTAGTCCCTAATATCTGTTCCCCCTATATAAAACGAGTAACAGAAAGCCTCCCTTGATCAGGCAGTGTAGAGGAAGAGGAAGAACCACAACCTATAATTCTCCAACTAAGCACTCACCACTTGACCTTAACCAATCCTCTTATCTGAGCATCGGGGAGTCAGCATCCTCCTCCCAACCACTTTAGAGGATTGTTACAAAGATTAAACACAAAGAAGCTCATCTCCAAAAGCAATTCTTCATGCTCACTCTTACACTGGTTGTTCTCAACAATCATTCTGTCTGCAGTTGAGAGACCTGATTTGAGAACTGTTTCCTATTTCTAAGAAAGACTACATGTTGTTCACTTTAGATCCCTTCAACTGGAGGGCAATTTCCTAAAGGTGGGACTAGGCACCTTCTAGACATCTGAGGTAGATTTTGCTGATAAGATATCTTAATTTATCTGACCTACTTAACAGGTCCTTAGTAAAAGAAGGAAGAAGGGAAACACAGTTATGTGGGTTCCCCAGCTTCTCTGACCAATGAAGACAACATGGACTGCCCAAATGTCCCAAGGGTTTAACCTCTCCCTCCCAGTCCCTTCTCCCCAGTTTCCCCACCCCTGTTCACCTACATTCAGCAGCCGGGTGGCCTCCTTGCTGGCTTGGTTGACCCCATTATGAACATCCTGCTGCAACCTGTCCACATCCTTCCCGGCCTGGCCAGCAGCATGGTGGACACCTTGGCCAAGTTTCTCCGCCTCCTTGCCGGCCTGGCCCGCAGCGTAGTTGACCGCTTGGCCATATTTCTCTGCCTCCTTCCCGGCCTGGTTGACCCCAGCATGGAACCCTTGAGCCACTTTGTCCGCCTCCTTTCCGGCCTGTTCAATGGCATGGTGAACTCCCTGGCCAAAGTGCTCTACCTCCTTCCCAGCCTGGTTGACCCCAGGTTGGATACCACGGATTACCTTGCCTCCCTCTTTCTCAGCCTGCCCTGCAACATACTGAGTATCATGGCCAAACTGTTGTGCCTCCTTTGCAGCATGGCTAAGTTCAGGTTGGGCCCCTTGGATCATTTTTTCTCCCTCTTTCCCAGCCTGACCAAATGCATGGTGAGCTCCTTGACCAAATTTTTCTGCCTCATTCCCAGCCTGACTCACAGCATGGTGAATCCCCTGGCCAAACTTCTCTCCCTCTGTGCCAGCCTGACCAGCAGCATAATGAACTCCTTGACCAAACTTCTCTGCCGCCTTCCCAGCCTGACCAAATGCATGGTGAGCTCCTTGACCAAATTTTTCTGCCTCATTCCCAGCCTGACCCACAGCATGGTGAAACCCCTGGCCAAATTTCTCTCCCTCTGTGCCAGCCTGACCCGCAGCATAGTGGACCCCTTGACCAAACTTCTCTGCCTCCTTCCCAGCCTGACCTGCAGCATAGTGGGCTCCTTGACTAAACTTCTCTGCCTCCTTCCCAGCCTGACCAAAAGCATGGTGGGCTCCTTGAACAAACTTCTCTGCCTCATTTTCAGCCTGACCCACAGCATGGTGGGCTCCTTGACCAAAGCTCTCTGCCTCATTCCCAGCCTGACCTGCGACATAGTGGACCCCTTGACCTAACTTCCCTCCATTTTTTCCAGCCTGACCGAAAACATGGTGGCCCCCTTGACCAAACTTATGTGCCTCCTTTCCAGCCTGATCAAAAGCATGGTGGACCCCTTGACCAAATTTCTCTCCCTCCTTCCCAGCCTGACCAAAAACATGGTGGCCCCCTTGACCAAACTTATGTGCCTCCTTTCCAGTTTGATCAAAAGCATGGTGGACCCCTTGACCAAATTTCTCTCCCTCCTTCCCAGCCTGGCCAAAAACATGGTGGCCCCCTTGACCTAACTTATGTGCCTCCTTTCCAGTTTGATCGAAAGCATGGTGGACCCCTTGACCAAATTTCTCTCCCTCCTTCCCAGCCTGACCAAAAACATGGTGGCCCCCTTGACTTAACTTATGTGCCTCCTTTCCAGTTTGATCAAAAGCATGGTGGACCCCTTGACCAAATTTCTCTCCCTCCTTCCCAGCCTGACTAAAAACATGGTGGCCCCCTTGACCAAACTTATGTGCCTCCTTTCCAGCCTGATCAAAAGCATGGTGGACCCCTTGACCAAACTTATGTGCCTCCTTTCCAGTTTGATCAAAAGCATGGTGGACCCCTTGACCAAATTTCTCTCCCTCCTTCCCAGCCTGACCAAAAACATGGTGGCCCCCTTGACCTAACTTATGTGCCTCCTTTCCAGTTTGATCAAAAGCATGGTGGACCCCTTGACCAAATTTCTCTCCCTCCTTCCCAGCCTGACCAAAAACATGGTGGCCCCCTTGACCTAACTTATGTGCCTCCTTTCCAGTTTGATCAAAAGCATGGTGGACCCCTTGACCAAATTTCTCTCCCTCCTTCCCAGCCTGACCAAAAACATGGTGGCCCCCTTGGCCAAACCTCCCAGCTTCCTTCCCAGACTGCCCTGCAACATGGTGGGCTCCCTGACCAAACCTCCCTGCTTCACTTCCCGCGTGGTTGACCCCAGAATGGACCCCATGATGGATTATTTTGTCTGCCTCCTTCCCAACCTGTCCAGACGCGTGGTTGACCCCATGGACAAGTTTCTCCGCTTCCTTTCCTGTGTGTCCGATGCCACTGTTGGTCCCATGGGCTACCTTGTCCAAGCCGTGGTTGATGCCCTTTTCCACCTCCTTGCCGGCCTGGCTCCCCATGTTGCTAAGTCCATTGAAAACTTTCTCCACTTCCCTTCCAGCTTGAGTGATTCCATTATTGATGCCTTCCAGGGCCTTGCCCACTTCTCTCTCTGCATTGCTCAGCCCTCGGTTGATCCCTTCAATGACCCTCTCAATAGGGTCATCCTTGGTTGCCCATCCAGGCATGGCCCCCAGCAGCAGGAGGAGGCAGCAGGAGCTGACTAAACTGGCAGGATGCATGTTGTTGGGAAAATGGGGAGAATGCAGAGAGGAGCCTGGGAAGCAAGACTGCTATTTATCCAGCTTCTTCTCCACCCCCATGACTCAACTCCGCCTATGAGGCAGTCAAGGAGGTATTTCCCAGGGAGATTTGGTGTTGGGCAATGAAGAAGAAGAGAGTGTGAGTCATCCATAGAGAAGAGCCCTAGCATCTTTGCTCCTTGCCCCTCTGAGGCCCTCCACCTGAGAGAAGGGTGTCTGCCTGCCCACCACCTCCTCTTCTCATTCTTGACCCATGGTCTAAGCCTCCTCTTTTAACAAATCCACCTCCAACCACCTGCCAGACCTGGGACCCTGTGATCCTGCAGCCATATTACTCCTCTGAGAGACCTCAGCTCCAGTTTCCCTAGCAATGAGAGTCTGGAAAGATGCGAGGCATGGTCAGAGGGAGGAAAGAACTCCAGGAGAGTTGGGGAGTCATTAGACCTTGCTCTTGTGGATCCCACTCCTATTCTCATGTACTCTGCTCTAGCCACACAGGCATTGTAGCATTGCATCTGTTCCTCAACCACATATTATCCAAATTGCTACTACACTGCCTTTGCACATGCCCTTGTCTCTGCCTAGAATTCAGAAACCAGAACCTCACATGACAGGCTCCTCTTATTCTGTACTTGGTTCCGATGTCATCTTCTCCAAAAAACCTTCCCTGAGCAACCCCTGAGAGTGACATGGGATTAGTTACCCTCTGTTATATTATCCATTTGTTTGTACAGTATGTACTATGATCTAAAACCAACTCTATTTCTTATTGTGTCTCACCTCCAAATTTTAAACTTCCAAAGGACAGGGCCTTTATCTATGTGAGGCACTGCTGTATCCCCAGCTTCTAGAACATTGTCTGGGGCCCAGTGAATAGTTACAGATGGAACACATGAGAGGATTAGAAGAAGCCAAGAGAGAAGAGTCCAAGCCTGAGCCTCAGCCTCACTGTGTGCTGGAGAGAAGGGAGTCTGGGTCCCTATAGCAGCAGAGTCCCATGTGGAGAGTTAGAGTCAAGATCACATTGTCACCATGGAACCCAGTCCTCTTGACTCCCAGCCCTTGGGCAAGCGCTGGCGGTGATTGCCATGAGCTGAGACGCAGTGTCTCCTGAAAATCCGGTTAAGGCAGCCCCAGGGAGGGGCCAAGGACCTGGGACAGCAGGAGCTGTCAGCCAGCACTGGGGTTGGGGTCAGGAGCTCTTCCTTACTGCCCTTCTCCCCTGGGGCCTCATAAACCCTGATCTGAAGCCCCACGTGTTGACTTATTGGCTCTGGTTGGAGGGGAAAATGGATGGAAGTTTGGCCAAGAGGGACATTAGAAGGAAGGGCAAGTGGTGGGTGCTAGGTCTGCAGCAGCATATCTGCCTGGAAGCTGGTTTAGATGAGCTAGTGGGTGGGTAGAGTTTTGGGCATGGGGTGAAAGATACACGGGATTTGATCCTGGGGGTGGAAATGGGTTTGTTGGTGGGAAGGGAAGGCACAAAGGAATGTGCAGGGTGTGGGCTGGTGGGGGTGGCAGAGTTATGTGTGTGGGTGCCCAGATGTGGCAAGAGTCTGCACTTGTTTTCAGGCTTTGCTCCAACCAGGGCACCAGGCCCACTCTCCTCATAGGACCCAAGGTTCCACCCCAGATCCTGGACAGTTGGCTCCACCCAGAACCAGGCATCCCAGGCTGGAGACCTTCTCGGAGCTCTGCAAATAGAGGTGACTAATTGGGCCACCTCTACAAGCTTGAGCTCATCAGATCTATTTCTCGGTGTCATGCTCCTGTGACAAAAGCAGATCTCTGGGTAACCCTAGGTGTGGCTCTCCCACCCCCATCTAGTACCTAAATGATGGAATGTCCAAGGCCAAGCAAGAGGTGGCCAGGCAAGGAAGAGTAGGTGATGAACTTCAGGGTTCTAAGCAGCCCCAATTTGAGAAGTAGGGATTCTCCTTTCGGAATGCATTCCATCTTTTCTCTGCCCTTCCTCCATCCCCACCCCCAATCCTTCTCTCTTAAGTCTCTCTGTTCCCCTTTGCTACTATGTGGTTTGGGACATTGGCATCTGTATCTAAAACTGAGATTGGCCTGGGATCGTCCCTTCTTATGTCATGGGCCTTGGTTGCTTTTGGTAACATGGTTGCGCTGTTTAGCTAGAGTGAATGGAGGAAGTTTCAGTAGTGACTGTCCCCGGGGATGCCAGAGCAGGTGCAGGGTACATACATACAATGGCTTTTCCATCAAACAGCCTCACAGTAAGTGCCCTACCCAGAGCCCTCTTCGAATGGCATCTGCCACTGGGCTTCCCAGCTCTAGTTAGGATCCGCTGCAGTTTATATAGAAAGGTGAATATCTGTTCCCGGTGCTTTGGCAGGGCTGCCCGTAAAACTATGTGGATCTGAACCAGGCTTTGGGAGGACATAACATAATCTATTTCTTCTCTTGTTATTGGCCAGGTCAGATTTACTGTTTCTTCTTAACATGTTTTAATATGGGGTGAGGGTGGGGGATTGAATCCAAGGCCTTCACACGCCCCTTTAAGAAGAATTTTTTTTTTAGGCCAGACCTCACTAAATTACCATGATTGGGCTTGAACTTAAGATTCTCCTGCATCAGCCTCCCAGACTACTGGAATTACAGGTGTATACCACCATGCTCAGCTTGGCCATTTATAATTTTGAAAAAAATTTTCAATTGCATCTAAATTTTCAAATACGCTTTTATGAAATCAATCCCTTTTCATGCCTCGTTTTGTTTATGCCTTTTATTTTTTTCCTCCTTGATTGTGCATGTTAAAATCTGCCCACTTTGTTTGATTAGCCATCTGTTTTTTTGGCCTTGGCTCATTGAAATCACCTCATTTTCCTCCAGATTATTTGCAATCCCACTTCTCCCAGGCCATCTAGGCAGGAAAGCTTCAGCAAACTGAGTTCCCATGGACATTTGGGGAAATAAGAGGTTATGTCATCCTGTGACTTTATACTTCCTTCCACCTCTCTCTCTGGGGTGGTGACTCCTATGGCACAAATTCCCACACCCCTAAATCTTGGTCACAGCTATGTGTCAACTGGCCCTATAAGCAAAGGTGCCTTCCTGTGAGCCACTCATGTTAAAACAAGCCCTCACACCAGGGCGTTAGAGGAAGCTACCGTTTGTCCACCTGCTTCTTTCACAAACATTTCCTGAAAGTCCCTGTACTGGGAACTGGAGGCACAGTGGTGAACAAAATGGGTCCAAGTACCCATCCTATGGTGGGCTTAGAGCCCATGGCAGACACAGGGCACCAGTGACCAACAACCAGGTTGTGACACATTGCAGGAAAAGCTACAAGGAAAGGAACAGGGTGCTGTGAGAAGATACCAATTTGGTGGCTTCTATAAGCCTGGGGAGCAGAAGGAACTCTTAGAGGCGATATTTATTTATTCACTTGAATACAGGCAAATTTCATTTACTGTGCTTTCCTTTACCGTGCTTCATGTATATTGCTTTTTTTTTTTTTTTTTTCACATTTGAAGCTTTGTGGTAACCCTGCTTTGGCTAAGTCTTTTGATGCCGTTTTCTAATAGCTCAGATAATCCTTAGAATTATTGGTTTTGTTTGTTTAGAAATGGGATCTGGCTACGATGCCCAGATTGGTTTCAAACCTGTGGGCTCAAATGATCCTTCTGCCTGAGGTTTCCAAGTAGCTGGAACTAGACACCCACTAGCAATTTTTAGCAATAATGCCTTAATTATTTTGTTTTGTTTCTTATAGTGCTGAGGATGAAAGCCAAGTTTGAGGCCAGTCTGGGTAACGCAGCAAGAACCCATCTTAAAAAAATATATATTGTTTTGGGCCAGGGATTTAGCTCAGTGGTTCCAGCACTTGCTTCACAAGCATAAGGGCCTGAGTTCGATCCCCAGTACAAAAAAAAAAAAAAAAAAAAAAAAAAATTAGTGTTTTTATACATACTGCTTTTGCACACTTACAATAAATACACTGTAAGCCTAACTTCGTTTTGCACTGAGAGACCAAAAATTTGTATGACCTACTTTATTGCAATATTTGCCTTCTTGCAGTGATCTGGAACAGAATTATTCAGTATCTCAAGGGTAGGCCTCTATTATTTATTGAGCAAACACCTTCTAAGTGCCAGACACTGTTCTAGTCAACAGGATATAGAAATGACAAAGACAGACGAGGTCCCTGCTGTTCTGGTGTTAGGGTCTAGTGGCAGAGACAATTGGCAAGAAGACACGAGAGTAAACCAGATGGCTAGGGGCAAAATAAAACAAGGAAAGGACAGCTCGAAAGTAGTTTGGGCTGTTTGTTTGGGATTGGGCAGGGTGGCTTGTCTGTTTTTGAGATGAGGTCCTGCTCTGTTGCCCAGGCTGGCCTCTAACACCCGGGTTCAAGTGATGCTCTTGCCTCAGCCTTCCTTGTCAGGCTCTGAAGTAATTCTGCACACTGGAACCTCAGCCAGGATGGGTAAGTGAGAGAAAGCTTTCCTGAAAGATGAGTAAAAGATGAAGGTGGGTGGGGATGAAGGCAAATAGTCGCTGAGAAAGCTAGGAAATTTATCTGGGGAGTCTTAAAGGATGGCATAGGAAGAAACCAAGAAGCAGCCAAGGGAAGACCTGTTTCCAAGGAAAAGGAAAATAGCACGGGTAACTCTCCAGAGATTGGGAACAACATGGAGACAGCGGAGGTAAAAGATTTATGAGCACCCGCATAGACAAGTAGATTCCATTCTAGGTGCAAGTGGGAGGCTTAGCACTAGCGGTCACCTGCGTCCAGGCATGGGGCTGTGGCGGGGAACCCGGGCCCTCCCAGCCTGCGCATCGCCTCCTCTGTGACGTCACGGGGCTTTCTGACGCCTCAGTGAGAAGCTGCAGACTCAGCTGCCCTGGCGCCCCGCACCTCAGTTACATCTCGGGTCCCGGGGTAGCCAGGCCATGATACCATAGGAGGCCATGTCGAGACGAGACGTCATCCTCACCAATGTCACCGTTGTCCAGCTGCTGCGGCAACCATGCCCAGGTGAGGAAGCGACCCCGGGAGGGCAAAAAAGGACATTGGGGAACCCCCGCCATCCCTGCCCCGGGCATCAAGGCCTCCGGAGCTGAGCCAGGTTGCATCCTCCACTCACAGCGAGCTCACCATCTAGGATCCCTCTCTACCCAGGCGATTAGGTGCTTAGTCTCTTGAAGGGCTGTCTGCCTCCGGGCCCGGCGCAAGGGGAAAGCGCAGTATCTGCATCCGGAAGCCAAGACCAGGGAGGAGAAGGGAAGTTCTTGGCCGACTCTTGGCCTGGAGAAGAACTAGGGGACTGGTTTCCCAACTCAAAACTGAAGCTCGTGGGGACCAGCGAGAAAGAGGCCCTGAGGATTGGTGGGCTCGGACCCTCTGTACTACATTACACAAAGCAAGGACATCTGCAGCCTATCCGGCCGGGCCATTCACGTTTAGACTTGTATGCACCACCAGGTGAGGCCGGTGCGTCCCTGTCCGGCCTTCAGAGCCGCCAACAGAGGTTAAGAGAGGGCAGGCCACTTACCTGACTCAGCCAAGGAATGGTGGCGCTGGCATTCCGCAGGGCTGGACTCGAACTCCCGGCAGTTCCGCCTCACCCAGCTAGAGGGCGCACGTGTGAGCACACGTGCACGCTTGTACACCCACACACTGGAGCCGAAGAAACCCAGGTCTTCCGGGAGGGCTGCCCCATACCCTCATGCTTCCTCACTTCCCACGAGGGGTTGCCCACGGTAGGTGGGGCTGGGCGGGACAGGGCTTCAGGATCCCAAGAAATGTTAACAGGTTAACACTTAGCGGGCAGTGAGCGTGGGCTTCATTTTCCCTCTGTAAAGTGGTTTCTAGCACAGCCTCAGTATTCAGTGAGCTGATGTGTTGAGAGAGATCAGTATGGCTCCGAGTTAGCCCAGCACTCTCCCATCAGGTACCCCCCCAGACTGAAGGGGAAGAGAGGGCTTTTCTTCTGAGAGGTCACAGAGTGGGCCGAGAGCCCCACTCTTAACCCAAGTAGGAAAATCTCCCTCTTTTGTGACAGCAGAAATAGAACTTTGGGGAGTGTGAACATTCTCAAGGTCATTAGGAACCTGAAGGTCATTACCATCAATAAACACTAATACAGTACCTTAATGAGCTTGCACTGTTGCTGGAAATACTCAGTCCGGCCTCAGGCCACAGGTCTTTGGCAGTGGGGAGAAGGGAGGAAGACAGGGCAGCTGGTCCCACCTCCCAGACCCATCACCTCCAGGGACCTTTGATTTCCATGCCAAAAGCAACTCCTGCCAACATCATGTAGTCCTCCCCAACCTCTTCTCCCTCCTGTCCTTCATGAATACTGTGAAGATCAGACTCCCACCCTCCTCTACTAACATCAACATCTACTTGTGAAACTTGAGATCTCACTGAACCCTTTCAGCAGTCTCTACATGGAGGATCAGATGTGGCATCCAGGAAACAGGCCAGAGAGTTTCATTAACTTGCCCAGCAGCACACAGTAGCAAGTGACTAAGCCAGGGCTGACGTCCAAGTCAGACTTCCCAGTTTAAAACCCTCTGCTACCCAGAGGGTTGTCTCCCCTTCTCCCTGCTGTAACTGAAGCCTTCCACTGTAGCTCAGGTGGGAGCAACCCCCCAGGTACAGGTGTTCCAAGAGCAGTACGGGATGCGGGGAGCACATGCAGAGTTGGTTTCCACTTGTTTTGTGAGGTCTAACAACTCTACCTCCTAAACTTCCCTGAGGGTAAGAACAACCTGAGTACTTGTTTAAAACAAGATTCCACTGGACATAATGGCACACCCCTGTAATCCCCGCCCTCTGGAGGCTGAGGCAGGAGTTTGAGGTCAGCCCAGTCTACGTCACAACACTGTCTAAATAGATAAGTAGTCTTTTTTTTTTTTTTTTTTTTTTTTTTTTGTT